CCTCCACTATCACCATCAGCCACCTCCTCCTCCTACACCAATTGACTCACAAACACACCCATTAACAGCTACACCCGCAGCAACAACAGTACCGTTAAGAGAAACACCAATGGGGACAATACCAACAGGGTCCACTGAGCCCTCAGCAACAGGAGAAAGTAACGGAATCAACAACGGAATAAACAACGTCCGCAATAACAGGAAAGAGTATGACACCTGTATAGTACGTGTAGTGTAGGGGGAAGGAGGAGGAGGAGGGAAGAGGGGAAGGAAGGGAGAGGGGGAGGAGGGAAGGGAGGAGGGGAAGAGGGGGGAGGAGGGGTGGGGAAGGAGGAGGGGGAAGAGGGAAGGGGAGGAGGGGGGAAGGGGAGGAGGGGGGGCTGAGGAGGGAAGGGAGGAGGGGGGAAGAGGGTGGGGAGGAGGGGGAGAGGGGAAGGAAGGGGGAGAGGGATGAGAGGGGAAAGAGGTATAAGGCTTCACATTGACACCATTCATAGGAGCACCCCCCCCCACAGGTAAACACAGGTCAGTTGATTTGTACTAAACAACCTTCCTGTTCATTCATACGTAGTCTTAGAGCCAAGGGACACGTCTCCTACTTTAACATTGTAAGTGACACTATTACTTACACTTTACCTTCTGGTGTGATATTTATACTTCTATACGTTCTTGTTAAGTGGGTATTTTTAACTTATATGTCCTTATTGATAGTGATACTTCTAGGAAACCTTCTTACTTAAATATATCACAGAAATACTTATACTTTCATGTACTTATTGATTATAACACATACTTATAAACTACTGTTATCGGAGTTATCGTGTTCGCTAATGGACAGTCAAGCGTTATCATGGTTATCTATTCCTGGTATCGTATTTGTTAATAACCAAACACTGCGGTTACTGCTATCTATATGAGTTATCGTGTCTAAAGATCTCACTGTTTAGGGCCAATATCGTTATCTTTTCCAGTTATCGCAGCTAATAATGAGGATATCTTGTCTTTCAATACCACACAGTCGAGTTATCGTACCCACACAAACACCACACATCAATAGTGCAAGTCATTCTTAAGCTATCCTGTTATCATCATCATCATCAACGTTTTCTACACGTACGAGGGTTAGATATCACAGGTCATCAAAGATCTTATTGCCATCAATGTCAATCACTGAATTCACCGCATTGATTACTTAGTATTTACCGTCATTAATGTCATAGACTCGTGTTTCAATGTTGAATAATGAGCATTAACCACCATTAACCTTCACAGTCATGGCCAAGTTATACACCTGACGACAACGAGGCCAAGGGGAGGGTGGAAGGGGGAGATGGGGAGAGGGGGAGGAGGGGGAAGAGGGAGGAAGGGGAGAGGGCAGGAGGAACAGGGGTGAGGGAAGGAAGGAGGGGTAATGGGGAAGGGGAGAAGGGAAGGGGGAGAGGGAAAATGAGATAGGGAGGGGGGAGCAAACACCTATTGGAATTCTCACCTGTATTTCTCTGCTGTATTGGCGACCTATTCTCATACGCGGCCCAGGTGATAAATATTACAGCAACAGGTAATTAATTAATCACCAAATTCATTAAAGTCACACTTGAACGCTGCGACCTTTTGATGATCATGTATTGCACTGACGAGAATTACGTATGTATGTATGTATGTATGTATGTATGTATGTATGTATGTATGTATGTCTGTCTTATGGAATTCATTATGCATTAATACCTAACCTAACCTTTAATTAACCTAACCTAACCTAAGGCTAACTTAACCTCACTTAACCTAACCTAACCTAACCAGCTGTGCAAGGGGGAATCCACACAAGGGGACCCGAGGACACTCAACACTGACTCCTGTGTCTTGTGGGTCACTACTGTCTTGTATAACAAGGGGGGAGGGAGGAGGAGGGAGAGGGGAGGAGGAGAGGGGGGAGTGAAAGAGTAAATAAAGAGAGGAGGAGGAGGAAGACAGTAGAAGGAAAGAGAGTAGAGAAGAGGAGGAAGAAAGTAAAGAGGAGGAGGGGGTGAAGGGGTGGGGAGAAGGGTAAGAGTAAAGAGAGGAAGTGGGGGAGAAGGAAAGGGAGAAGAGAAGGGAGAGAGAAAATATTAAAAAAAAGAGAAGAGGAGGAGGGAGAGGAAGAGAGAATGGAAAGGAAAAGGTAGAAAGGAGAAGAGTAGGAGGAAGAGGAAAAATGAAGAGGAAGAAGAATAGGAAGGAAAACATGAAGAGAAGAAAAGAAGAGAGAGAGAGAGAGAGAGAGAGAGAGAGAGATACAACACCCATCACATTAGCAAGAATTTCTATGGTTCCTCACACTATACGGCTGTGTCTTACGCCCAATATGTGAGGTGTGTCATCATCCCGCACGCCCACACTACTATCACCACGCCCAAAATCTCACCTCCATACACCATCTCTCACTCCCACTACCACGCCCACACCACTATCACCACCACACGCCCACACCATTATCACCACCACAAGCCCACACCCATCACAAGACCACACTACTATCACCACGCCCACACCCATCACCACCACACACCCACACCCCTATCACCACCACAAGCCCACACCACTATCACCACGCCCACACCCATCACCACTATACACCAACATCCACACCGCCACGCCCACACTGACCCACAATCCTTATCAGGGAGCAGGTACAGGTGTGGTGACCCAGCGAAAATGTCAGCGACCGGCCGATCCTGAGACTGAGCTGGGTGACCGACCTCGTACTGTAAGGTGGACGAGCTCTAGATACTGATAGTGTTAAAGTCTAAATCCTGTTTTACATCTGATTCGCATTGAGGTCACACGGCCAAGGCTATACACTGGTGGGGCTAGATAGGTGGGGCTAGATAGGTGGAGGTACACAGGTGGTGTTAGACAGGTGGGGATACACTGGTAGAGTTAGACAGGTGGGGCTAGACAGATCGGGCTACACAGGTGGACTAGACAGGTGGGGCTACACAGGTGGGCTAGACAGGTGGGGCTAGACATAATGTTCTAATTATAGTAATAAGTAGAGTTATACTATAGTATCCGTCTGTCAGTCCATATGTCCGTCCGTCTGTCCGTCTAACCTCTAACTAGCATAAGAACATAAGAGTGGAGGAAACTGCAGCGGGCCTATGGGCCCATACTGGGCAGTCCCATTTACACCCAACCCCTATAGCTCATATATCCGTCCAACCTATATTTGAAGCTATCCAGCGTGTTCGAGTTAATGATGTTTGGTAACTTGTTCCACTTGTCCACTACTCTATTTCCAAACCAATGTTTACCGATCTTGCGCCCAAATCTAAATTTGTCTAATTTAAAACAATTGCTACGAGTTCGCTCCTGGTTGGATAGTTTGAGTACCTTTGTAATGTCACTTTGTTCAGCCCTGACTTCCATTTATACACCTCTTACCTTATCGCCCCTCACTCTACGTCTCTCGAGGGAGTGCAAATTAAGATGCTTTAACCTGTCTGTACTCAAGGTTCCTAGTGCCCGGGATTAGTTTGGTCATTCTCCTCTGAATTCTTTCGAGGGATTCTATATCCATTCTGTAGTACGGTGACCAGAACTGAACCGCGTAATCCAAGTGAGGTCTCACAGGCGCAAGATATAGTTTTAGGATGACCTCGCTAGTCTTGTAACTAACACTCCTTTGTATGAATCCAAGTACTTTGTAAGCCTTGTTTCGATCAAATACGCAATTGTTGTCTTGGTATAAGATTCCTACTTATCAATAATCCTAAATCTTTCTCACAGGCAGATTTCTGTATAACAACGTTGTTCATCTGGTATCTGGTTTCTCTGTTTACATCTCCTAGACTAAGTACTTAACAATTGTCCACACTAAATTTCATCTGTCATTTTTCAGACCATGCGAAAAATCTTCCTGTAGTTTTGCGGAGTCCTCGTCATATTTAATTACACGCCCTATTTTACTGTCGTTAACAAATTTACTTACGTTGCTGTCTACGCCGATATCATTGTCGATTATGTATATAATAAATAATAATGGTCAAGTACTGAGCCTTGGGGTACTCCACTAGTGACGTTACCCCAATCGGATTTAATGCCGTGCCGTTCATGCTTACTCGCTGTTTCCTGTCCTAATCCATTTTAGAATATCTCCTCCAATTCCATGAGCCACATAGTATAAACGACAACTTGAATAAATAGTAGCAATAGATTTCGATGATACTTGGTACGTGGATGTAACCCAACAAGATCTCGCAACTGTTCGATAATATGTACATTTTTCTCCATATTCTGGGGAGTTGTGGCGAACCTGAGGACCTGGACTTTCAAACTGTTATCAGGTCAATAGCTGTTCAATACTATAAGACTATAATAAGAATGGATGGAAGAGTCAGGTGATGTTACGCTCATTCAGGGGAACCACTGGTAAAACAAACAAAAGTCAGCTGAGTGGCAGGCAGGTTTGAGGTGACAATTTCTAAGGATCAAATTGAGAAGCTAATGTCTGTGGACTCAATTTCCAAGAAAAAAATTCCAAAGGGCTAATAATTGGAGACTATTTCAGGAGACAATTTGTGTCGTCATCAGCCACCTGCTCTGGTAACATCAAAATAGTCAAAAACATCGAAAAACAACTTAAATATTTACAACCACACTATGATTTAGAATTAGGTAAATAACATGGAGGACTAAACGTGTAAGGCAAACAAAAACAAAGATGGATTAAGAGGTAAAATAGGATTATAATACCTTTACTATTGATTCAAATTTGACCTTCAGGCAAGCGTGGAAGGGCATCGTGAATAGAGGGTTGTGGGAATGACTTGTCCCTTCGTCCCAGGCTCACCACACCTGTCAGAGAGGACGCCTAACCCATGCTACTTATATCTTACCTGAGTACCTAACTAATGACTCACCTGACGGAGATACACCCCACTACCTACTCCTCACATACCAGGAGGAGTTGATATATGATCGTCAACATACTCAACGCCAGAAACAGAAGAGGGAGTACTCACCATGTAGCGCCTTGAGGTACGCCTTGCCAGCAGTTATGAGGCTCCGGGCCGCGGGGTTGAACTTGTCGAGCAGGTTCTGTGGGAGAGATGACGAGTGTGAGACGCAGATCATGGGTGGTGATATGGGGAGGTCAGTGTCACACACACACACACACACACACACACACACACACACACACACACACACACACATCCATATTGACAGATTAAGAGTATTATTGACAAGGCCGCTTTACTCTGAGGCGGATATAATGATTACAGACAAGGACCACCACTATGTATCAACAAGGACACAGTAAATGGTTCATTACAGCCAAGGACACAGCCAAGGACACTCTTTCATGTATCAGTTAAGATCTCCTGAAATGTCTTTAAAGAGATGATCATGTCTAAATAAGCTGCTTTAATATCAATATCAATCAAATACAAGAACATTCATCCAAAGACAACAGAGATTCAACAATATAAGCAATAATAGAAATAAGTAAGTCTAAGGAAATTGATAATAAACAATAAATATATAAATATACAAAATATTTCCCTATCCCTCAAACCTCCTCCCCTCAACAACATAACAGTATGAAAACAACACCATGAAAACAGCAACAACATGACGACGACAACAACAAATTGACTACCTGAAAACAACGTAACAACAACAACGTAACAACAACAACAACAACGCAACAACAACAACGTAACAACAACAACGCACAAACAACAACGTAACAACAACAACGTAACAACAACGTAACAACAACAACAACAACGTAACAACAACAACGTAACAACAACGTAACAACAACAACAACGTAACAACAACAACGTAACAACAACAACGTGACAACAACAACGTGACAACAACAACGTGACAACAATAACACAAAACTGATATCTTCGTCATCAAACCATAACATCAACAGCCTCTATACCTGACAAGATCCTGTTCTCACACACCTGTACACTATTCATCCCGAAGGTCAGAGTCACTCAAAGGGCCAAGACATTCTATTTAACGAGCAAAAATATGAAGAAAAAACTAGACATAAAAACTAGACACGAATTAATAGCAACAATCAGCTAGTGGCGATAATCTTCATTTAAACCGGAAATACTGGCTAAAGGACCTTAATTCCAGGTTAGGTATAAAATGTGTGTGTGTGTTCGATAATAGTATTAGTAAAGTAGATTAATTCGCTATGATTGTACCCAAGAAGAAGGCTACGGGTGACTTGGGTGACTGTGGGGTGACGAGGGTGTGGGGTGACGAGGGTGCGGGTGACTGTGGGGTGACGAGGGTGTGGGGTGACGAGGGTGCGGGTGACTGTGGGGTGACGAGGGTGTGGGTGACTGTGGGGTGACGGCGTGGGTTGATCAAGCTGTCAGGTTTTACACTTGGTCAGGGTGATGATGCAGGAATAACCTATCATGTGTACAGTATGTTAAGAGGGCGGAACTGGTCTCTGAGAATGAGTCGAGGAGGAGAAGACAAGGAAGAGGAAACAAGAAGGAGGAGGAGGAGGATAAGACAAGGAGGAGAAAGAGACAATGAGAAGGATGAGACTAAGAGGAGGAGGAGGAAGAGAAAGAAGAATCAGGTGAGAGAGTGATACACCTTACGCGGCATTACTCGGTACAGCTACAGGTAAACACACCTACACAGCAGTCCCCCCCCCCCCTAGCCAGTACAGTGACGAACAAAAATTCCTGGACACTTGTGGCACTAACTGGCACTGCACTGAGGGTCAAGGAGGGTAATTGGGTATTTAAGCATCTATTTCCTTCAAGTAATAGTCACCAGTGAGGTTTCCTTGGCCCTAAGACAACATATATAAAACATACATACACACATGAATACACCGGGAATATATGTATACCACAAACTCATATACATACATTTCTAATTTTCATACAATTGAATTAAAATAAACCTCAATATAAATACATATTATAATACTCTAGCATACTAATAATAATGTGTCAGGTGTATAATTAGTCTCAGAAATGGTCATAATGTTGTCACGTCGTCATTAATTAGTCTTATACCTGTACGTATACCTGTGTGATTGTTACTGATTAATTATTATATCTACAATGCCCATATTAGAGACAGCCTCCCACACTCGGCGATACAAAAACAAGAGAGAGGAGGAGCGGTGTATTAATTAGCTGTGACAGAATCATAAGAGGTATTATTATCTAATTATGGAAATACCTGTCGATATTCTTGTTGGCACACACACACACACACACACACACACACACACACACACACACACACACACACACACACACACACTACTGTACTGGGTGTGGTGGCTGAGTGAGAGGTAAAACAAAGACAGAGAACTGAAGATGACAAAGATCTCACCTCCCTCTCCTCACTACCCTCCTCACCTTCCACTACCCTCCTCCCCTCACCTCACCTTCTCACCCTCACCCCTGTACAGGGCTGATAGCACACCAAAGACATCATCCAACTCATCCACCCTTAGAACCTACTAAAGAGGAATCATCTTGAAAGATTATTTGTCATCCGTCCATTTCTTATTTTTTAATACGACCGGATGAGTTAATGTTGGAAAATTTATCACACACACACACACACACACACACACACACACACACACACAATAATATCAATAACAATATCAATAATAATAACACACACACACACATATCAACACCCGCCCATCACAGTCAAACCACTGCTACCACCACCCACATATCACTATTAAATCCTAACCACACTATCCACTCACCACAATCACCACCACCACCACACCACAATCCTAACCACTATCCACCCACCACAATCATCACCACCACCATCCACCAACATCACCACAACCACCACCACCACCCGGGACAAGAACAGCAGCAGGTGAGAGCGACAGAGAGAGAGTGAATTGGATCTGACCGAGAAAGCGGACTCGGTAGCGGCCGGTCAGACGAGGAGGTGAGGGAGGGAAGGAGGGTGAGGGAGGGTCAGGGAGAGTCACTAGCCAGGTTGTATATGCCTTTAGGCCTCTTGTTTTCTACTCTTAATTTAGACACTCTATTTTACCTGCCCTAAACACCTGTGCTTCTCACACACACACACACACACACACACACACACACACACACACACACAATACTTTCACTGTGATATAAAAGTTGTCTTGGGTGATATGATCGTGAGATATACTTCTAGGCCGGGACAACATTTTACCCCCAGTAGAGTAATTACAAGCTGCGTTAAGGTCATAATAATCTACATTGATCCTGTGAGCTGACGTATTACTGTGAGCTCCTCCCCGGGCGGCCAGATGTACACACAGGTAAGAGTGAGTGTGTGTGTGTGTGTGTGTGTATGTCTTACTGTTGCTGTCTATCTGCCTGTCCTTACGGATCTCTCTATCTCTTTTTGTCTGTCTGCTGTCTCTATCTCTGTCTCAAAAAACCCATTAATACATAAACAAAAACCATTTATACACACACAAAAAATTCCGTTTATATAAAAAAAATATGAAATTCACCAGCACAGCAGCATCAGCACAGCCCTCCCGCCGTCCACATCAATGTTAACTCCATCCAGTAGACTATACCAGACCAGACCCTCCCCCCTCACTCCCAGACCATCTGACGAGTCGCACCGCTTTGGGCTACTAATTAAACAGGTTATGGGAGCCCAGGTTTCACGCTATGGGGACAAGGTAACACGCTATGGTAGTGGCCAAATAGGGAACAGTTCACACGGTATAGTGGCCACGCGGGGACAAGGTAACACGCTATGGTAGTGGCCAGATAGGGAACAGTTCACACGGTATAGTGGCCACGCGGGGACAAGGTAACACGCTATGGTAGTGGCCAAATAGGGAACAGTTCACACGGTATAGTGGCCACGCGGGACAAGGAAACGCTATGGTAGTGGCCAAATAGGGAACAGTTCACACGGTATAGTGGACGCGGGACAAGGTAACCGCTATGGTAGTGGCCAAATAGGGAACAGTTCACACGGTATAGTGCCACGCGGGGACGGAACACGCTATGGTAGTGGCCAAATAGGAACAGTTCACACGGTATAGTGGCCACGCGGGGACAAGGTAACGCTGGTGGTGGCCAAATAGGGAACAGTTCACACGGTATAGTGGCCACGCGGGGACAAGGTAACACGCTATGGTGGTGGCCAAATAGGGAACAGTTCACACGGTATAGTGGCCACGCGGGGACAAGGTAACACGTATGGTGGGTGGCCAAATAGGGAACAGTTCACACGGTATAGTGGCCACGCGGGACAAGGTAACACGCTATGGTGGTGGCCAAATAGGGAACAGTTCACACGGTGTAGTGGACGCGGGGACAAGGTAACACGCTATGGTAGTGGCCAGATAGGGAACAGTTCACACGGTATAGTGGCCACGCGGGGACAAGGTAACACGCTATGGTGGTGGCCAAATAGGGAATAGTTCACACGGTATAGTGGCCACGCGGGGACAAGGTAACACGCTATGGTAGTGGCCAGATAGGGAACAGTTCACACGGTATAGTGGCCACGCGGGGACAAGGTAACACGCTATGGTAGTGGCCAGATAGGAACAGTTCACACGGTATAGTGGCCACGCGGGACAAGGTAACACGCTATGGTGGTGGCCAAATAGGGAACAGTTCACGGTATAGTGGCCACGCGGGGCAAGGTAACACGCTATGGTGGTGGCCAGATAGGGAACAGTTCACACGGTATAGTGGCCACGCGAGGGACAAGGTAACACGCTATGGTGGTGGCCAAATAGGGAATAGTTCACACGGTATAGTGGCCACGCGGGGACAAGGTAACACGCTATGGTAGTGGCCAGATAGGGAACAGTTCACACGGTATAGTGGCCACGCGGGGACAAGGTAACACGCTATGGTAGTGGCAGATAGGAACAGTTCACACGGTATAGTGGCCACGCGGGACAAGGTAACACGCTATGGTGGTGGCCAAATAGACAGTTCACACGGTATAGTGCCACGCGGGACAAGGTAACACGCTATGGTGGTGGCCGTAGGAACAGTTCACACGGTATAGTGGCCACGCGGGACAAGGTAACA